CAAGGGTTGTTAGCTAGCCAATAGCATAAATAGCCTAAGTACCAGGGATCTTGTCTTACAGTATTAGGGGGGCTTATCGCAGATGTATATAAGCCAGTAAGTCTGCGCCAGTTAGGATCAGACTAGTTATAGTCATTCACTTGCTTCATTCTAAGCCATCCTCTACAGTAAACCATGTCAAAGCCCTTTACTCAAGAAACACTAAGTCAGTAAGTAGTTTAAGATTAGGTTTAGGATCTAGGAGGCAGTCATAGCGAGTCTTTGCATGACATCCTCCCATAGGAGTTCCCATCAACAGCAATCCTGCCTTCAGATTACAACATGTTTCTACCACCACTCTAGGGGCCCTTTGCACTGCCAAACCTGTGGAAAATTGGAATTCATCAGATGGGAAATGGGAGGAGGATACTTGGGAATATTTGCTGATGCAGGAGTCAAATGTATTGGAACATCTATGGGCTTCACTTCAAGCTATGGGAGATTTGGGAGTGGTTGATGAAGTCAATCATTTCCAGGCTGTCAATCTGAAACTGGACCTTCTTTTGGCCACACAAGGATCATTGGGAGCAGAAATCCTTCAGATTCAGGATGAACTCAGTCAATACTGGACCTGCCTCAAAGCCACCAATTTAGAGGATCGACTTGAACAGCACAAGTTCTCTATTATCACTCCTTCCTCAGGCGCTATGCCTTATCAACTCCATTATTGTACCAATTGCAACACCGGCAGTCATTTTTGAAGTGAGTGTTGGCAATGGTTATGCTCATCATGCAGTTTGCTTCACCCATGCAACAAATTCTGGACTGTTGAAGATGCGCTAAATGGGGAGGTACCGTGTTCCACCAAGGAACTGGGTTATTTGAAGCAATGGCACACCCAGTGGCAACTATAACAACAAATCTAGAAGGAGGGGTAATGTTATGGCTTTGAGGGTGTCAAGGTATCGCCCTTGACCCTACTCTAAACCCTAATCCCAGTACTCACTTGTGATACTGGTAATTGACAAGGTAAGCGTTGAGGAGCTTTGTCTTGGGAGTGGTTAACTCAGAGAGTGAGTAGAGTGAAGTAGAC